GTTTATATATTATTTTTTTCTATTTTTAATTTTCGTATTGTTTATAGAAAAATTGCTCGATATACTATAAATAACATGCTGAATATAAGCGTTTGGATCTTTATATGCCATGTTTTGATTTATTTTGTGGTTTTATAATGTATTCAATGCTTGTGACTTGTTTAATTTGTTTTCTTTTGAAAAATTAATACCAAATAATGCTTTCTGAGAATAATGCAGTTTTTTGAATTAAAAAATCAAAACAAAGCTAATGTGTCTCTTTTTATCATTGTTATTTAACCACTTTAATAGTATTTTTATTAAAATTAATATATATTGTTGTATTTTTAAAGTTTAAGTAAAAAGGTATTAATTCAAAAAAACTTTTTGTATTTGAAAAAATTAATATTGTTGGAATAACAGTTTTAATTTGGGTGGTATATTTTTTATAAAATTCAAAATTATCATAAATCATTTATTTTTAAAAGTTTTATTATTTTTATATTAAAATGATAATATTTTATGCGTTTTTTTAAAATAAAAAAATAACTGTTATTAGAAAAGTCAACGAAATAAAAATAAAAATGTCTATCGAAAAAAAGCAAATTTATTGTATTCTAATTATTGTCTTATTAAGCAAACAATGAATTAAATTTTTATTACAAACAAATTATTACAATTACAATAAAAATAACTTTGTTGTAAAAATAGACATCGAACAAGCAATAAAGCTTTTTTAATTCAGTCATTAATTGCATTGGCTATAGCAAACAAATGGCACAAAGAAATTAATCTCAGGAATTTATTTTATTTTTAAATTCAACAAGTTATTTATACTTTAAATAAAGTTTATTTTTAAATAAAATTGACAAATTTATAATATTTTCTTTAATTGTTTGTTATTTTTGTCGAAATTAATAAGGTGGTTTATTGTAGGATTTTTTAAAAAATACTTTCGATTTATTTTAATTCTTTTACACTAACCATTTTATTTATTCATTAAATTTTTTGAAATTTTGGATTTCCCTTTATTTATTGAAATATAGTTAATATTTTTGTGAAATAATCTTGCATCTTAAGCTTTGTAATTATTAGTAATAACCGATATGTGGTGTTTTGAAGAAAAAAAAGTATCTTATACAATATAATTCAATTATTTCAAAACGATTTAAGCCACAAATTATAACGATTTTTATAATATAGATATAGTTTTTTATTTTAAAACCAAAACAATAAGTTGTAATTGGGTTTTTGTCACCAAATCACTATTTTTGGTGTTGTCATTCCAATCACCAAACCATTTAATAATTATATACACAATAAACCCAATTTTATGAAAAAGCTTTGTATTAATATCTGTATTGTGGGGTTTTCTCTTAATTGTATTAATTATCACTTAGATAATGTTCTATTTATTCCTTAAAAAACAAATTTAAATTCTTTTTTATTTCTTTTAATCAATTTATAAAATACACATGAACATGATTTCAATATAATGAGAACAATAAGAACGTCTTTGCTGATCCAACACAATCAAGATATTGTCTTCCAATACAAGTGATACTACTATGTGCTATAATGGAATGCCTAAACCACCATCTTTTTTTCACTGAATATCCAAATTCATTGCAAAATAAATTTATACCTCTTCTTCTTCAAAAATTGTTTCAAAACATTCGTTCAAAAACAATTTCAACAATTTTTGGCCAAGCCGTCTGCGACACTGTTGGTCTTTCATCTGAATTTTTCTCTAAAGCACAAGCCGAATCAATTTATAAATACAAGAGAATCACATTTTTATGTTATTTGGACTGACGACACCGATCAGTCTCTTCTAATACTCAACTTTTTATAGCAAACAATGGAAATTGTGTTCCAAAAGATTTTGAAACACATTGTCTCTATTGGTACAATTTCGGGGTTTCCGAAGTCGGCAATATAAAGCTGTCGGATGTTGGCATCCACACGCGAAGTGTTTTGTCGTCTAAAAACTTCAACAAAACGTCTATCAAAAATTCGATGGACGTTTGGGAAAGAGAAAAAAAGCGACTTTTAATGGGAGTGTGATGAGGACTTCAATTGCTACGATTCTTTATTTTTGGGATATCGAAAAGGTGGAAGAGACGGCAAACACTTTTGGGAAGGTGACTCACTACGACCCAAGATGCCAGGCCTCGTATCTATAATAGTCAATTTAATTGGGGAATTTCTACAATGCGAGTGTGATTGCCAAAAAACTATCAAATTGCACGAGAAAGAATAAGAAAGTACATAAAAAAACAACAAGGTGTTTTATTATGGTTTTGATAAATTCACAAATCCACAAAGTTTAGAACAACTTGAGTTGAATAAATTGATTGGATAAACTTTATACCAGTTAAACGTACAGTGCAAAGTCGGAGTGGCACAAATAATGAAAAATGATGGAAAATATGACAAAAATAATCGACAGTGTTGATGGCTGTAACTTATGAAGCGGGAGATGCAGACACAAATGCGGCAGTTGTTGGAGCTGTATTGGGTGCTTACATTGGTAATTTAGATATGTTTCCAAAAGACTGGATTGAATTTGATCACAAAAGTTGGCTTATTAAGAGGATCAATAGAATGATAAAATTGATGAATTTGGAAGAAATTAAAAAGAAATTTAAATGATAAATTCTAGTTTATTATATTTTTTGTACTTTTTTAATCAAACGTGTTGTCTATAAAACATAAGAAACTTTCCAAAT